GTGTCTTAATGTCCTTAATGTCCTACAGATTAACTAAACAGCAGAAGAACTGCTGTTCTGGTCACCAACCATTTTATATTTAGACCCACTTCTGGCAATGTTGTTTTTGCTCTACCCATCAAAACCACACATACTTCCATTAGACAGATATATGGCCAGGCTTTCAACTCTCCTCCTGCATTATGCAAATCATCTCAATTTTTTATTGTTAATTAAAAATTATAATGGCAAACTGTAACACACAAAGCTAAAGATGATTTAAATAAATATATGTAATAGATGGGAATATATGCAGAAAAGGATATAAATTATTTTCTAAAGAGAATTTCATCCTAAGATATACACATTTCTCCTTAGTTATTGTCCAGGGACACAACAGTCCAATCTTTTTATCCTAGAAAAAAGGTGACAGAGCATATAAATACAACAGTTCTGAAGGAAAACACCGAGAAAATTATAAAACCTTACCATATGCAGTGGAGTAAAGAGAAAATGAACCAGTTCAGCTGCACTAGGATTCTGGATATGGAACTTTAATTTGGCCTGAAGGAACGGGAAAATGATATGTTTTAAGATCTGGTTAACTTTTATCACAATAAATACTTCACATAAGAATGTCCATCCCTGGTAAGCCACAGGTCCATCTAAGCCCAGTATTTTGTCTGCAACATCCACTAAGTCCAAGTGCTTATTCACCTAATTGCTTTTAAATCCACGTATATCTTTAGAACCTATTATGCAAAAAAAAAGAAGTTCCACAATTGAATTATATACTCTTTGTGAAGAAGCATCTCCTTTGGAAACTTGCCACCTCTTAGTTTCATTAGTATGCTGTAGTTCTTTTCCAAATGAAAACTGAGCAATCCTTCTCTACTCACTTTTTCCAGTGATGCTCATAACCATTTACAGATTTATTACATTCTTCCTCTGTTTGGTCTTTTCCAAGCTAAGTAATTCCATCGAGCATTCTTGTCCTCCCTGTACCTTCTTCAATTTTGCTACACTGGGAACAAAATAAGGCCAGGGAACACAACAGCATACTAATGTTCTTTATTTGTTAATTTTCCTTCTGTTTCCTAACGGTTCTCAACACTTCTTTGATTGATCACCATTGAACACAGATGACGTTCTCCCAGGAATCTGTATTATATCAACATTTTGTTGTGATTTGTTTTACACATGCAGATTTTCCCCATCTGTCCATGGCTCTATCATATCTATCAGTATTGAATTTCATCTGTCACTTTATCTGCTACATGAAATATTTCTATACTCTTAGCCACTACACTCCCCATTTGCCACACCACCTGTAAATATGTTGGACATCAAAGACCTCTGCAGAGGCGTGTGTGGGACTTCACTGATGAATTTACTGCACTTTAAGAACCAGCATTTTAGTCCTATAGGTTGTTTTCTATTGCACCAAAAAAGAATCTAAGAAGCTACATTCAAACTCTCAGTAGCTCAGTTTCCTTAAGAACTTCAGGGTGTGCAACCTTTCTGGATGTGTTTTGGAAATCTAAAGGAACAAAATCAAAGACTTGATGGATTTGTAGAGATTATTGTTTTGCAAGACACGTCTGCCTCTTCCTCAATTTAATATACCTGTCCACACACTGCATCCCATGTGCAGGTACCTCAGGGGTACCTGGTTGTCACAGTCCCTCAGATCCTTGGAATGAGTTTAAAGATTATCAGCATTACCTTAACCACTTCTCTTCCTCTGGAAGAAAGGCAGTTTTAGAGAGGTTACACACCATACTGTGTGGTCTGATGACTTAGTTTTTTGAATAGATGGATGAATGGTGCCCATTCAAACAGGGCTTCTACTCATCTGCCCAGTTCTTCACTTTGAAACAGACAATATTTTGTGCCCTCCCATAAAAAATGATTTTCATGAACACACCATCCACTATCAAGCTTTTCCAAATAAATATATGCATTTAAAAAAATAAATCATATACTTTCTCTGATATAGCTTCTTGGAGGATTTCTTTTATTTACTGATCATCTGTTGACCATGCAGGCTCCAGAAGTAGGAAGCGTGCCAGAATGTGTTTTAAAAAGTTATTGTTGTTTTTATTGCATCTTGCTGCCTGTTCTATTCCTCAAACTGCTTTTGGCTAGCCTCATTCTGCTTTTACATCTAGCCTTCCAAAGTGTGCCTCCAAATGAAGAAAGGAGGAGGATGTGTTTTTACTTCTAATAACTTCCTATACATTGTTCTTCGGTCATAACAACTTTCTTTCCGTCTTTCTAAATTTTTTTTGACAGATGGTAGACATTTTCTAGGAGCTTTCAGCACAGTGTTTTAAAGCAGTTTCCATTCTACTGGCAAAGACTTTATTCTTCTAGCTACTCCTTTTATTTTTAAACTAGATTTTTTATTTTATACAGTTCTCTATGTCTGACAAAGCAGCAGGAAGTGAAATTTCAGGCTTTTGTGGCTCCTGCAATGATGCTGAAGTAAAACACTGTTACAGCTCTTCAAGAGCAACATTAGAAACTAGGTCCTAGATGCTGCTGAGCACCAAAACAAGTGCTTCTCCTGTGCAGAAGATAAAGATCCCAAGATGCACACATTGTTCTTGGGTGGAAAACTAATTCAAATGCAGAATGTGGTAAAAAGTAAGAATGAAAAAAAAAATTAACATTACAAGCACTATTTCTGAGAAGGATCAGCATTTCTGAGACATCTGCCTCCCTCAAAACAGCAGTCCTTGAAGGTCAGAATCACAGCATTCAATATAGGGTTTAAAAAAAACCCAACCAACAGTATATTCTTAACATTTCCAAATATCTCTTACAGACCTGCAATCAGAATCCATTCCCCAAGAGGAAGAAAAAAGCTGATTTGACTCAGCGAATGCAAGAACAATTTTCCCTGTTGGCATAGCTTCCCCAGCAACTGGAAGAGCCAGTCAGTATCTGAAAGTAAATGTTTTGAAGGTGTCCCACTTCCTGCCTTCCTTTAATAGCACTTGCAGAAGAGGAGATGCCAGGAGAAGGCTCTGGAATTAGCAGCTCTGCTTGTTGAGAATCCATAAAGTGACAGCAATTTGTCAGATGGAGCGTTCTGAGGCCAGAAAGGTCCTGTGTAATGACGGCAACAAGAACAGAGAGTCTGATGGGCATAGCTGAATCAAACTAAATTAAGGCCACAGCTGGTGATGCTGGCAAGTATGCAACAGAGCTGTGATTCTCACAGACGATCCTAGAAATTCTTTTCCGATTTAAATTCCGATTTCCCAAGTAAAAGGCTTTAAAGAACCAGGAAAAGAAGAAACACAACAATGCTGAAAAAGAAATATGCTTATCTAGCCACTGTGTAGAGAACTTGAGGAGGAACGTCCCAAAACACAAAGGCCAACCTAGGCCAGAGGTGGCCAGCTCTGCTCTTGTCTCGGTTCCACCTTGGACAGAGAAGGAAAAGGTGAAAGTCCAAGACCAGTCAAGTATCAGCTGAGCCATCTTCCTGTGTGTCAGCCAAGGACCAAACAAGATTACATTTCCAGGTATATCAGCATTCTTGAAGAGGAGACTTGCAGATTTGCTCCTTCTTAAAGAGCAGTAGAGACCAAGACAACATAGACCGAAGGTCACAATTCCCTGGGTGGTGTGACCATGTCTGCATGGCTGGCAGCAGTAGGGCATTTAAGATCCAAAAGGTTTCTCTACATGGACAAGGTACTCGAAAAGTGAGGCAGAAAACCTGATTAATGCATTCCCAAAGACAAGATGAACTTCTGCAGCTCCCTCGGAGGCATCAACAATAAAGCATCTACTCCCTTTGGAACAGCAGGAACCTCCAAGAAAACCTAACTTAAAAACAACTACAAAGCAAATCCATCATGTTACTGATTCTTCCTTCTCCTCTTCATCTTTCACCAGAATTCTAGTTTTTCCCTTCCTACTAGTGGAATAAGACATAGGAAAACCAAAGCAGCAAAACCGACGACTAAATTAATTTGTAGTGGTAGGGACATCAAAGATCGTGTTTTACTCAACATCAGCTATCCCAGGAAAAAACTGTTAGTGCATGCCTCACGCCACCATATCCACCAGCAGTCACGTACCAGAAGATTGAAGCCATGCTTGAATTTTTGGAAGCAGTCAACAAATTCATCTGGAAGTGGTGGTTTTGCACGGAGAGTAAGAACTCCCTCTGGTGAACGAAATGAGATTTTTTATATATCCATTTATAAGGTTTATAACTTCTATAAATATTACAGATAGAGCAAACACATAAATACATAATAAATTTAATAACTTACAGAAATTTGTAAATACAGAACCATGACAGTGAGCATATTCTATGGTCACATCTCTGATTACTCACTTCCCACTGACTTCAAGCAAATGGTTTTCATAGGTTTCTCTCTAGGAATATACTGTGTAGGATTTTTTGTGCTCAAAGTGAAAGAAAATTACTACATTCGTGAAAAAACAACACAAAAAACCATATTTGCTAGCGACTTCAATGATCCTTAGAGAAAAAGAATTGTGTGCAGTAAGAACTCCTACCTCCAGGTCCTTTCTTTTTACTTTTCTTAGTTTTCTTCCTCTTTGAAAGTTCAGCAAAAGCTTCAGCGGCTTTTTGAAGTTTGGTAACAAAATACTCAATGTCATCCAAAATATGGTTCAGAATTTGCTATGGGAGAACAGAAAAGTAACATTTCTCTACAGAATCTATAGTAGAAACATTCCAGAAATCAAAATGACCACACTTTCAGACACGAACTGCTTCATTGGAACAAAGTTCATGCTAAAAAATTCCATATTTATATTCGTTATATTCTTAACTTTACACACCTGTAACGTATTTTAAATCTTAGATTTTTAAAAACTTAGGGCCACTGTAAGTTCTTAAAACATGATCAACAAGATTATTAAATTTGGATTGCAATTACACAATTTGTTCACACGTTACATTTTGTCTCACAGCACATGAAAAAAATTCTAATTATTTGAATGGAGAGCATTTTCCTAAAGAGTGTAACTTCATAATCTCCTCTAGCACAAAGAATTAAGCTATTTGTTGAATGTCTGAATGTAGTTTTATAAAGAAGTACTCTTTGAAGAATTGTTTTCAAAGAGCAAGTGAAGGAGAATGAATGAGCCCCTGGGGAAAACACATATACACCAATTCAGCAGGTCCCAACGATGCTGCTGAGGGCAACAGCAAAGTAGAAAAGTAGAAAGTTAGAACTGACAAATTGGGCAAAATTTGATATCACATACATCATAGGACCTGCCCAATGTTCTTGCTTATAGGAAAGAAAAGTTTAGGTTATGCACATACCTGGTCCACCTGTCTTCAGAAATGACCACGTTTATCTTCCAGATACTGCACATATCTAAGTCCTACTAAATTGATGGAAATTTTTACCTTTACATTGTTTGCTGAATTTTGTCTACCACACAAAATTACTTTTTATATTTCTAGCTCTTCACAGCAGAAAACTTTACATCAACATTCAGTCCTTTTTTTTTTTCCCATTTTTTTTTTAAGAAAAAAAAATTAGAAAAAGAACTACCACCTATTCATTTTATGTCTACCACACAAACATAGCCTTCCTGGAAAGCTTTCCTCCAGAACCGAATTTTCCATGCGGAAAAAGGCTTCTCCTGAGGTAGAGCTGCAAAATTTCACAGACATTAAGCAATATCGCTTGTAGTTTCTCACTTACAACATCTCTGTCAATCCTGGCTGCCATCATCTCTGCTGTTTCTTCATGATCATGGTATTGTCTGTGTTTTTCAACTGCAGAAAAAAGGAAGAAGAGTGTAAGACATCCATATATGCAGAATTAGTAATACACAAACACCTCCTATACAGCTTATGCTTTAAACCATACTAGTGTAAGAAAAAACATGGACAGAACTGTTCATACCATTCACTTTGCAAGGACTCAACACAACCTGAAAATCTTGCACCCTAATGCCTGATCCTGCCAAGTCTCATGGAAAAGCTTTCGGTCAACTTAGCTGCATAAAGGAAGTCAACCACAGATGTGTGGTACCAGGGTCTAAACAGAAAAAATACAGCAGAAACTGGCAGATTATAAATACAAATTAATGAGAAACGTTCCCATTTTGTGAAATATGCTGAAAGCTACTCCAGTAGGAGTAAGCAAGAAGGAGTGTAGCCATGACTTTGAAGACAATTTTTCTGCAAAAGGTAATTAGCAAAAAGGGGCACCAGGTCTGGCAACATAGAAATGGAAGGCAAAGATGTGATGGAACTGGTGTTTCCAAACAATGGACAAGGTCAGTGACTTTTATTTAAAACCAACAAGGCTTAACATCTTGAGAAATGCTAAATCTCACATTCCTAAGTCACACTAAGTACTGCGTTGTGTTTGTTAACAGGTGGGATTTTAGTAAATACGTAGAAAAGATCCAGGGAGTAAGAGGAACTGCAGGAGCTCAGATCCACAAGTGGTGTGGCAAGACACTTCACAAACTAATGAAACTTTTCTGAAGGGAGGAGAGGTCAAGCAGAAGAACAAACTCAAGAGAGACGTAAACCTGTAGATTAATAGATGAAAACATTCTTAACAATAGAAATTTCTCTGAACATTTTCAGTTGTTTTCTTTGAATAGTTGTGTATTTTGTTGAGTGATACAATTTAATAAACCAAAAATAATAAAGACTCCATGGTTAATGACTTCTAATTCTAAAATTTTAGTATCTATTATTAAAAAAAAAACAAAAAAACAAAAAACCCAAAAAGGCCTCACCTTAACCTTAATACAGTCTGTTTTACATAAGGAGCTTTATTTTTTCTAAAGAGCATTTTTTTTTCAAAGAAATCTGATCAAAATAAAAATGTTTCCACTAAAGATTTAAAAAAAAAAACAACCACCAAACCAAAAAATTCAAACACATTACATATGCTACAGCATTCCTTTGTTAAGGATTAAAAAAAAAAAAAAAAAAAAGGAAGTAAAAAAGAAAAGAACCAGTTTAGCCATACAGACCATTATAAAGACAAATATAAAATCAATAAATAATTCTGATCTCTAGTCATCTTTTAATCCATGATTATACTTTTTAATTGTCCGAAATATCTGATCTATGTTCTCCCTTTCACTCAAGAGAGCATCATTAAATTACTAGAGTTATGACAGTACTGGTTACTGTGAGCGTTATGTTCACAAAAAAGCCCCGGTTAAAACCAGTAACCTACACCCCCACCCAGCTACACACGAATAAAAGCAGCTCTAAACAGAAATTCAGAAAATGGATAAAAAAAGGAAATGACAAGCCAGATTATGACAGTCAGGTCTTATTCCCCAGATCAGGCAACGGTGGCTTGGGGCATTTCAGACTAGACTGGTAGACTAATCCTGCCTGCTCTTGGCGTGGACAGAGGGGTGGCCTCGTACAACCATCTCTGCATCTGGATTCAGTTACTGCAATCTCTACGAAAGCAGCCTTTCCAAATTAATTTTGTTATCACCAAGGATCACAGAAACCTGCTGCCCAGGACAGCCGTTCACCACTGCGCTCCCAGAAATACTCCCAGCAGGCCCCCGGCAACACTCACGCTCGCCCTGCTCTGCAGCCCACGCGGACCACGCCGCCACGCGGCTTCTCACGTCCACCTGGGTGATGGTCCCCGGTGGCACCGGGGCGGGCGCCCGTGGCGGCGGAGGGATGGCGCTGTCAGCTTTGGATATCATCCTAGAGGAAGAGAAGAGAGCCCAGAAGTGACACTTGAAGGTAAAACTTTCTATTTTCTAGTGCTTGATCAGAGAAGACAAGGAGGCTTTCCAAGGACCTCTTCTACTGTTGAACATACTATGGACTTGCCAGGTAAGCAGTACTCAAGCCTGTGATGTGTAAATATGTTCTAGTAGGAAACCCACTCCTCGATGGGGTTAGCAAACCTTTGTTACCTGGCCACATGAGACATCCCCAAGGAGTGCCAGAGAACATGATGTGTGGACATCCGCCAGTTTACACAGGTAAATTCAGTGGCTTGGGTTTGGTAGATGGTGTTTTTACCACCATATGCAGTTCACTGGCTAGACTTCCACTTTGTGTGAAATTTTTCATTAGAAGTTACTTTTCAGCTATCACAAGTTGAGTATCTAGTCCCTAAATTTGACATGTTGCCAACCACTTGTTTCTTAAAACTCTACCAATAAAATCAATTAAGTTTACAGGTTGTTTTTCCTTTTTACTCCAGTGGCCTGTTCATCCTGTCTCGATATAAATGCACGATCCTATCATAGACTGTATCAATTTTCCCACCCACAATTTTCCAGTTTTCCCATTCTTAACACAGTTCTTAACACCGTAAGGAAAGAGGTCTTTGAAGTCATTCTGCAACTTGCTATCAACCGACAAAAAATCCCAACAACTCCTGTCACACACACATTCCATCCCTTCCCCATGTCCCTATTTAAAACCAAGATTTCACCTGGAATTCTTCTCTTTCGAATCCCACCCCATTCATGGCAAGCGTTATTTGGTTTTTTGGACATCAAACAATAAATAATGTTTCCATCACCATTCCTTCCTCCAGTCTCCTGGGCACCCTCCTCCGCACATGCCACGCTTCTACTTGTCAATAACTTTGCAGTGACTCAATAACGCAACGTCAGGGAGGAGGGTCTCTCCCCATGACCCAATGCCAGCACGTACATGATACCACAGCGAGTAACCAGCGCTGAGCTGTCATGCACTCATGACCTCTTGGCCTCAGGGACCAGTATCTCAGATTATTTTTCCCACTAGATGTACTGACCTACGTTTTTTTCCCAACTAAATCTCATTAGTTTCCCAACACAATGTGTTTGAGTCCTCCTGGGTTACCTCTTTGTGCTTACACTTGTTTGCTACACTCAACAACAGTAAAGTGCACTTATTTAATTTGATTCCCACAGGTGAAGTTAGACATAGTTCAGTTTTTATTTTCTTTTTATAGGAGTGACCATTACTTGAGGAAAACTTCACGAGTTACGCATCAAAATTTAATAGGTAACTAAGAGTGTTATAAACTCGTTCATACAATGGTGACATTTTTACTTTATGATTTTTGTCCAGCAACGACTTCGCTATCTGGACGACAAAACTAAGTGCTATCGAGAGACACTATCAGGATGCAGTTACATGCTAACTTTTCAACAGACTACCACCATAACCATTCAGTATGTAATCTATTTGTGCCCTTGTTATTGCACCTCTGATGGCCACCTCTCACTTCTGTATTAATCTTCTCTGAACCCAAACTAACTTTTTAACAGACTACCACCATAACCATTCGGTATGTAATCTATTTGTGCCCTTGTTGTTACACCTCTGATGGCTACCCCTCACTTCTGTATTAATCTTCTCTGAACCCAACAGACTCCTTTCCTCCACATTTTCTTACTGGCAGGGAAGCTTTTGCTACCAGGGAAACAAGGAGTCTTCAGCATCGTTAGGCAGGCAGGAAGATTATTCAGTCTTCCGTTGCTGTTTTATTTAACATCTTTAGATCTCAAACTCTTTTATCAGCACCTTACTTACTTGGAGTTACAGGGCCTTTAGGTTTTTAATTTAAATTCTAAACAACTTGACCCATAAGCAGAACTGAGACATGCAATGCTATTCTCTGGCAGCTGGTATTGATGTCAGCTGCTCTCATCATTAAGGTGGGATCAGGAAAGGTAAGAGTGATGCTATAAATCAAGACAGCACAAGATAATTATTAAAGCAAGGCCTCTGCATGTGGTTTTGGAAGTATGTTATCAACTAGCAACAAAGAGTGAAAAACCGAGGCAGACTTGGAGAGCTTCTGGATGCTCTAACACTATTTGGCCATCCTGTGTCCTGTCAAGAAATTATTTCTTTACCTCAATGTTTCAAGCCTCTTCTTTTGTTTCCCACTCTTGCTGTCACTGATTGCACTTTCAATATCTTCATGAATAAAGCTGGCCTAAAGAGACAGAAGCAGAGACCATCAGTTATCAGCTGTATCTCTTCATGCACTTTTTTGGGGCATCTTTAGATTCCAGAATCCCTTATGAAATGCCATTTATTTAAAAGTTCTAGGATAAATTATTTTACACATAAACAGAATGAAGAAACACACAATGCTGTTGTCTGAGAGTTGGTATTTTTGTCACTGTTCCACTCTCAAGCATTATCATCAGATGAGTATGTCACCTAGATACCAAAATTGTCTGAACAGCTGTAATTATCTCAAGTCAACCATTATTCAATAAGCTTTTTTTTCCCCTTCATGAATGTAATTTCTGGTTTTCTCAAGCAGGCTAGGGGAAAGACATGCTTCTAAAAAAATCTACTATAGATAGGAGTAGCAAAGCTACTATAGATAGTAGCAGCATAAAGGATTAGGAAAGTAACTTGTAGTGATAGTTTCCTTTAAGAAATAACGACAGCCTCCAATTTCTCTTTGATTTAACAGAAAATGATTTGTTCAGAACACTTCCTAATCTGTAGGTTCCTGCCTCTTCCTAACTGCAGTCTGCCTCCACCAGTGGCCCACAAGTGAAATTTTGATGCATGTCTAAGGCATTATTTTAATAGATCTTGCGTTAAATAGGTCATGGCTTCTCGTAGGATTTAGAATGCTCTGTTACACGTCTGCAGCTGACAAATTAATTTCCTACACAGGTTGTCAAAGCCCAAATCTGTCAGTGTCTGGCTCACTCTACAAGGTCCACATCTTTCTTAGTACCCTCATAATGGAGAAGTATGTAAATTTTTGGGAGGAATACGTAACTTCTGCTGGGACCATTCGGGATCCAAGGGGATTAAAGGACTTCTCAGGCTATAATGAACTGCACTACAGAATATGACAGAGGGATACATTAAGGTTGAAGAATTAATAGAAAAAAACTGAAAGGGATTTGTGGAACTTAAACTCAGAAGAATTCCATTAATCATACTCTTGATATTAATTATTTAATCATTTTTTGTTTAGAAATATTGAATGCCCCAAATATTATTGGTTTTGTCTCATTTTTTATTGCAGAGGCTCCTGAGGTTCATGGTAACTTCTAATCAAAAGCAGGAAAAAGGAAAGGTAGACAGACCTAACATTTCAAAACCAGTCAAGTCTCATGGGTAAGGAACAAACGCCAGGGTATGGTCACAGACTCAAACAACACCTCAGAAGAAAAGGGGGATCCTGGACTTCCAAGTCATCCTTACGTGCTCTGCATTTTTATTGGTACACAGAGGAACAACTTCAAAAGATGGAAGTCTGAAGAAAAGAGACCACCTCTACACTTTGGAAAGCTGGGTCCTACCAGACCTCAACAAGGATCCCTGCATTTATTTAACATAATGTCACCTGAAATTCTCACAGGATCCCAATTTCCATTGAAACAGAAAATGCTGTACAACTAATCACACAATTTGCCAGTCATCTTCGCACCACTCTCACTATACCATTTTCAAAACAGTCGCACAAGATGATTAGCAATCTCTTGTTTTAAGACAATGATATGAACAACTACAAAGGAATTAATAAATCTCCATGAAATTATCATTTGGAATTTAAAGAAATACCAATTATATAGAGTAACTAACAGAAATTAAAATTTATAATCCTGGAAATACAGAAGGATTGCAGAATAGATTAAAAAATATATTTATGCTTGAAAGAAATATTTTAACCAGAGACAAACAATCTCTTTCCTTGTTTTGTCCCTCTTCTGAGTAATATTTTCCTTTTCATTCTCTCTCCAGCAGACCAGAGATGCAGAGAGGTGGGAATGTAGAGAAGATTTAATTGTTCAGTGATAAAAAGAGCAGAAAAAGGGAGAAGACTAAGTAAGGCTCATGGCTCAAATTAGTTCTTTGCAGATCAGACGTAAATTCGAGATAACTCAAACTATTTTACATCATTTTCTTCAGAAGTGTGAATGTAAACCATACACGTACTCCAGAGCTTTACTCATCTGCAAACCTAAATGAACAGCTACAGAGCCCAAGAATCAATATTTAAAGCAACAACATATTTGCACATGCACTAAAGATTCAGTTTACATGCAGGACTACTCTCTTGCAAGATATACTACACTACATTTACTACTATACTATATTGTTTATATTCTTAATGCATTAAACTTAAAGCATATTTATAAGTATAAAAGAACAGAATCATTTTCTATGAATCAGCCTATTTGATTTTATTCACTGAGCTTGTCAATTCATAAAATTTCCCCTATTCAAGTAAGTCATAGCAGATCTCCACTACTACCTTACCTTAATCTCATCACATTGGAAAAGATGCAAATCAGGCTTGTTTTGAGTTGGTTCTTTACATACTAATGCAAGAATTGAATTGTAATTGCACGCATTCATCACAGCTTGGCAATGCTGAATTGTGCTTAAAGGAAAATTCTCCAGTTCATTCTGCCGGAAGAGGGAAGAAAAAAAAAATCAAACACAAAACACCACCTTACTATACAGTGTTCTGATCTCAGAAAAGCTGCATGAGTTAAAAAAGGAAAGTGATAATAAGCTAATTAAAATACTGAATCTCACATACATCATTTTCCTGCCTGTTCGCTTTTTCTCTCTCGCTCTGAAAATGAGACTGCCACTCACAGATCTTACCTTTGATTCCAAGTCCACCAAACTGACAGCTTTGTCATCCACTTGAAGAATCATATCTTGAGTCCACACTTTGCCTTTGGCATCCAGCAATTTCAGCTTCCTTATTCCATCATCTACGGTAATCATTGCCTCTTTTCGGTCCAGAACAAAGGTGGTCAAGTGCTAGTGAATGGGACGTACATTTGAAAACAAAAATTGTAATTTTCCCTATTGCTACGCACTGTCAGTATTCAAATTGCCATGAAACAGCAATACTAATTATTCATTAATAAAAGTGCCTTTGTATATGGCAGATCCCACCAATAAGCCACCAGAGAGGTTGTTTAGTCCATACTGTCATTTTAAGTCAACTGATTTTTGTAACTCCCTGTTTGTCATCCTCTGTCATTTCCTCACTACAGTAAGTGGTTAGACTTGAAGGCATATTCTGACATCTTGCAGGTATCACAGCTAGAATTAAACCCTGCGTATTTAATGAGCTTTCTTGAGGAGTGAAAACCTGTCTCTCTTGGCAAGCTGAATCTAGGAAGCGTCAGCAGAAGCTTCCCAGAAACACCCTGCCAACCTATCTCCACCACCACCCTGACCTGGATTGTCCTCATCTCTTCCAGAGCTGCCAGTTAGCACGCTGATGGCCACCATGATGGGTTTGCATCTGACTGGGATACCTTATGGACGGGCTAGTCACTTCTTTTATGAGGATCACTGTAGAAACGTAGTATACTAACTGCTTTTGCTCACTATCAACTTGGAATATTCTTCAGATTCATTTAATGGTCTAAAATAGATTACACTGATCATACCGCCTCACAGACACTACCTCACTAGTTTCCCTGTCATTATGGTTTTGACAATTTCTCCTTCAACACACCAACCATCCAAGACAACCCATAAAATTATTTCATTTTATCCAGGCATAAATCCAGCTTCACGTTCTTATTGAAGACCTGGTTACACTCATTCAAGCTGAATCCATTTTAATATATGCTTGCACATCTATCTTCTAAATAACTTTAAAAAAACACAAACAAACAAGAAGAATTAAGTGAGCTTTCTTCTACTATAGGATAACAACACTTAGTTACAACAGACAAAAGAGTAGATACAAGCTGCATATAATCAAAGTATTCAAAAGAAGTGAAACAAACTCTCTACTAACTGCTCACACAGGAATGCTTAGACCTCAAAAACAAGTACTAATTTTTATGTCAGTACATACCAAAATCGTTATGAAGAAACCAAAGAAAAATTCAGACAGACAACTAGAAGCAACACGAGTGTTCATTTGCAAGCCGATCATAGGATAGAAGCCCTTGAAATTAAGACTGTTCTGCATATGATCTCACAATTTACAGCTAACTTAAAAGCCAGCAAAAAGGAGCTGAGAATCCATGGGATTTGCAAGACCTGGCTTAACCCATGATAGCGGTAGGATGGCAGTGGGTGAAAGTTTGTGCCAAAGTAAGACTACAGAATGAGGCATTGCATCCAAAAATGCTTCATGGGCTACATATGGGCACCCAGGCTTACTTTGCTGAGCATTTTAAATATATCTACTCCTGGATAGAATATGACAGCAGCATGTTGTAACTGCAAAGCGGCTTACGACAGGAAGAAACATACTTTGCGCTTCACGCCGGGGAAGAATCCGTGCAGGCAGAATATAGAATCATAGAATCATAGAATGG